GCAAAAGCCCCGTGTACTGCAGGGAAGCCACCAGACGCCACAAGCCACGGTCCCCCGGCAGCAGCGTGGCCCAGCGACGCTGGGAAGCGCAGAGGGGAAGCGCTGCCGCCCTGCACCTCAATTATTCCACATCCATCACGTGAAGGGAATATTTATTTCTTACGTTTTTGGCTCTGCGGCTCCTCCCGGACCAGGAGAGCGGAGCAGGTCTCTTCCACCGGCCGGAGCCGTCCGAAAGCAGCCCCCGGGCCGTGCTGCCCGCAGGGCTCACGAGGGCAGCCCGGGCACAAGGCAGCTCCGAGACCCTCGTTAGCCAGCGCCGTCTGTAATCATAGCTGCTCTGAGATGAGTAAAGCAGAACAAAGGTGAACCTGGTGGATAAGGGTGTATTTTTAAGCAAAAGGCCCCATTTAACAGGTACCTGCGCGCCCATCGTTATACTGTTGAAGTATATTTCCAGAACACAACTTCCCCAATCCCCCAAAAATCTCCAATTTTCACCCGGTGCCTGCCCTGACAAAGTGAACCTGAGACCGCCCGGCAAGGGGAACGCCGCCTTCTCCTTCCACCATTGCATCCTTCACCTCTCACAATGGCGCTGGCTCTGCATGGGTATCCGGGATGAGAAATTGCAGACAGCAGTCAAGATGAACTCCTAACATAATTAATTTAAACAGGCAGTGGGGAGACGCACAGAAGCGGCACGCCAGTGGCCCCGTGGTACGCGAACGGAGCCTTTCTCGAGTTCGATTCAAACAGACGTGGGAACTCTTTTTTTTTTTAAACCAAAGAAGCTTCACTTTAATGGCGTCGAAGGCAGCTTTACAGCGTTTCAGCCCCACGGACCCACCGAGGTCAGAGGGGACCTTTGGGCCCACCCCGCACCGAACCCTTCACCCCGCAGCAGCGCCCAGGCACAGGGGAGCAGTAGGGGTCCAGGGGCTCAGCCTGTGCCCCCCTCACCCGGGCTGAAGGCTGGGCCTGCCGCGGCCCTGGTGCTGGC